GGGCGTGAGTCTGGGTCGGGACCTCTTCTTTGGATCACGCTTGGGGGCCAGCCCAGTTTTGGCCCCCTTGTGAGATGGAGGATGGCAGTAACCACCCCGGTGCCCCACCTTGCCACAACGCTGACAACGATGCTGGCGGAACTTGCAGTCCCGGTGGAAATGCCAGGCACCACAGAATCGGCACGCGTAGGGTGGGGACTTCGTTCGATCGGATTGGGTGAGGCGCGCGGACGATTGCGCCCTCCGTGCTATGACTGCCTGGATCATACCAGGTGTGGCGGCGTTCTGGATCACGGCAGAATCGTGCTTCAGGTTGAGCAGCGTTTGACACTCCTCGGCCAGGTTCTGGAGTGTGACTGAGCTATCTTTTGTAGCTTGGACAGGAGGCGCGTCCGGATATCGGCATCGTGTAGAGACTGGAGGACAGAGAGGAAAATCAGGCATTTGAATTGGTCCGAGTTGAAAACGTTGACATTCGCGGTTGACCATGCCCGCGTACGTGATGAAATCGTCGGCATCACGTTTGGCCAGCTGCAGACACTGATAACGAGCATCGAACAAAGAGGACTGCTCGCCAAAAATCTGGGACAACGTTCGGACCGTCTCGTCAAAGGTAACGTCGCGTGGGTTCCTTGGCAAGATGAAATTGGTGTAGCGCTGGTGTTCGAGCGTACCAAGTTTGCGAAGAAGCAGCCGGACCTTCCACGCGTCATCCTGGTAAGCTAGGTCAACGGTGAACAGGTCCTCGTACCGCTTATACCAAGATTCGAAAGTTACCCCGGCCTTGGCGTCGTACAGGAATTCGCTGATGCCGCTAACCACATGGTCCACTGACTGAGAATTAGCGCTGGGACCTGCATGAACTTGAGAGAGAACTGGAGAGCTTTTCGGTTAAAACGGACCTCAAGTTAAGTTGTTGCTGCAGCATCAGTTTTAAATCGGCGTATTCGTCAGTCGTGGTTCGTATCCCACATCCATCGCCACTGTTACGATTGTGGGAACGCCTGATAAGATTGTCACTGGCACCGTTGGAGCACGCCTACGGTAACGGATTGGAACACTGGCCAATCGAACTGATTTGCGCTGACCTGATGGCGTTAGCTTAGCCCGGGGTGCGCGCTGGTGAGGGCGATCCTAGTCGCACGTATTCGGGTAGACGCTGAGCCCTCGGAACGGACGCACGCGAGAGGGGGTTACGGTAGACGCGCGCTAGTGACTTAGACGCGAACACTGCCCGGCTAACGACGCACACAAAAGCACGTGGCCCGACCGATTCCCAGCCTCGTTGTAGAGGAAGAAAGACAGGTGGTCCTTTGAAGACTCTTTTACGAACGACAAAGCGCGAATCACAGCCAATGCAATAGGTCATTAAGTTATGGAAAATTGCTATCACGACGGGGTGGTAGTTTGTAAAAGAACATTGTTAACAGATGCCCGGTTGGGCCGCGTCTCGGAGTGGCTGCACACTGCTACGTTGTGGGGAGGAATTGGACCCCGCTTCCCACAGCCATTATGTCGGAGTTTCTGGCGCCTTTTTGCGGGGATATTTGACGGGCCCGTAACAATATCCTTAATGCAGACCAAGCAGTCACCTTTACCGATCCATACTTGAACCAGGTTTGTGAAATGCTTGTTGGTTTATCCCCCGACACCGTATGCAAAGTCCGTGTCCCTACTCCTCATCAGCTATTTCATCTGCGTCGATCGGTCGCGGACTTGCAAAAGAAACCATGACGGAATTACTTCGAACTCAACCAAACACAATAGGAAACCTCAAGCTGGAGAGCATATTGGAACTCTTGAAACTCTGCACGACTACTTATTTTTACTTTGCTGGGCAAGTATACCAACAACTGAAAGGAACGCCCATGGGATCGCCCATCTCAGAACTTATTGCAAAAGCTGCGATGCAAAAACTGAAGAATATCACAATACCGTTAATCAAACCAAAATTATGGATCCGGTACGTGGACGACACGTTTGTCATCATCAAGCGAGTTTCCTTACAGAATACCCATGAGTTAATCAACAACACATTCCAGGATATCAAGTTTACAATTGAACTTGAAAAAGACAACCAGTTACCATTCTTAGAAGTACTGGTCCAAAGAAACACTGACGAAACACTTCAGACATGTATATATCGAAAGAAGACTCACACAGACCAACTATTAAACTACCACAGCAACCATCTACTGAACCACAAGAAAGTGTGCATTTAAAGCCTTTTCAATAGAGCCAAAACACACTGCAGTACGACAGAATTGAGGCAGAAGGAAGAGAGCCATCTATACCGGGCACTGTGAAACAACGGGTATCCAAGCAACTTCATCAGAAGTAGCCTAAAGAAGAGGGTGCATCAAGAACAGCAGGAAAACATAGATAAACGGGTATCGCTTCCTTACATCAAGAATGTGTCTGAACTAACGTCAAAGTTGCTAAGTCCACAGAATCGTGGTAGTCCACAAACCAACTGCTACTTTGCGAAGGTTGCTTTCATGACCGAAGGATAAAGTCAAACAAGACGGTCAGAATGATGTTATCTACAAAATTAACGGCAAAGAGTGTGACAAACACTACATTGAGCAGACTGAAAGGAAACTTTCAACACGGATCAACGAACACATAATGGCCATACGGAGACACGACCCGCATACACTGGTTTCCATGTATGATGGCCAAGAAGGCCACCACTTCGATCTAGAGAACGTTAAGATCCTAGCCCGTGGAAATTCGAGGCAAGCTAGAGAGTTCTTGGAAGCATAGTATTCTACCGACAATTTAATAAACCGACGCGTTGAAATAGATGCTATATATACAGCGCTACGGATGAATGGTCACCGAATTAGTAGATTAAATCTAACGGAACAGAACGCCAGTCAACTGCATCAAACGATGACAACCGAAGATGCATGCGCGTATACACTACGAAGTGAGAAGCAGAGATCGATTTCGATGGTCATGTGCTCGTCAAACAATCCAAACTCAAACTAGCGGCTAGAAGATTGATCACTCACACTCACTGACGCTTCGTACGCGCCACTCTGCTAAATAAACGCGCACTGACGATGTCACCTCGAGTGGTGACGAAAAGTTTGCGGTCAAACTGCCGACCTCAGAGAACGCTCAGTCAAACAATTGAACAACTTGAGCTATCAACATTTGCTTCTATTTCATCTGCGTATTTTTCAACCTCATGTTTATGCTGTGCATTGTGAGGCTCAAGTGGGTACACAAACGAAACACACCCAAAGTGAAAGCTGGTTCAGCTAAACTTTTGAGAAGGCACCTAAGCGAATCATTGCCAGATTTCCAAAACTATCCATAGACGACAACGGAATAACCAGATCCTCCTCTCCTCTCTTTTATACCGGTCAATGTTTTACGAACTACAAACTGTACGTTAATCAGGTTTGCGTTTAGCCAACCTTCGCCTATCTTGGCCTCTATGGCAATAGTCATCAAGCTGCATTTTGCCAGCTTGTCAGATTTTCGGCTTCCTGCTTTTCACCAATCATTACCGTTATCCCGACACAAATGCTCTTGATTCTGTCGGGTTGATGCTTCTCTAGATTATTTTCTCAAATCGGCTAAAGAAGGCGGACTTCTCTCCCTACAAAGCAATATTTGATGTCATTCGATTCAGGGTAATGGAGCGCACCCAAGTCATCTGCGATTGCTAATACGGAATCCTAACTCCGTACTTTGCATTGAGCACGATCTACTGACTACAGCGACAACGTACGACATTCTGTTGCCCTCACCAATGCTCTCTGCAAAGAGTAACATAATCCTCGGCCATCCTTTTATTAAGCATTACCCGATGGCCAATTTTAAAATTACTGGCAATGTTACATGTTTTCTTTCTGGATACTGACCTAATAATAGTTTGCGTCTTGCTCTTGCATTTGTTTCAAGGCTAAGCTGGTTTTCGCTGGCTGCTGCTCACTGTACCGGCCTCTTGGGTGTTTCTCCTCAGTTGTCCTCTCGATTTGCTAACCTCTGTATCCTACTGAGCGTGGTATATTTAACAAAATTATCACGATTATACACGCCAAATGGATGACTTAAAGTTGAGCTCAATTGATCTTACCATTTGATTCATATGAAATCGTGCACTGGTGTTCATTGCTACGTTGCATGCTAAATTTTTGATATATCACATGAAAATGATCAGGAAACGATTGATTCCTAGAACTCTAAACCCAACCGAAACTGAAGATCTGTGATTTTGTAGAAGGCGGAGCAACTGTGCAATTGTTGTACGTATATTCTAAAATGGTACTTTTATTGCGCGCCAGTTGGGGGATTTGAAACTTTCAGCCGTTTGGCCAGATGCCCAAATTACCGGTGACTGCTAGTTCGGTTCATCTGCTGACAATATTGCGTAACATGGCTAATGAAAATTTACGAGAGTGTAGGCGCCTTCTCTATGAGCCACTGGAGCAGACTTTCTCTTACGGAAGTAATGGCTTTTCGTGAAATTTCACCTTCTTCGGACACCGCTTTCATGATACGACTGAACACTAGTTATCCTGTTCACCCATTTCAATCTGACTCCGGTTGCCTCTGCCCGGTGGATCCGAACAACCACCCCACTGCACTTCCTGTTCTATCTTGTTTTATCATGGTTGTACAGGGGTAATAGCTCATGTTATTTATCCTTTGTTTTGTATGCTACAGTGCGCTTCTGGAATGCAGCAGCCATTCCGCTTTAGCATTCTATGCCCAAACCATCGAATCTCTAAAACCGAGTTACTACGCATTTGTTATAAGCCGCTGCATTTTGACCCACTCTGCACTTCCATTAGATCAGTCATGAGCTGGTAAGTCGGTTTGGATTGTGGTCACAATCTCCATTGTAAACGTAAGTGGAACGTAACTAACTTCGCTATCAATTTCTTCAAAGAATCCTCCTTGTCGATCCGCTGTGCTTTGCTCATATTGTCTTCGCAATCCATCGGATGTCTCTCCTCTATGTTTTCTCCCCTCATTTATAGAGAAGCCCCAGTAGACGTTAAAGCGCCACGACATTGGGATAATGAGCCCACTTCATCCAGAATCTTCAGGCGAGAGGGTATGATTCCGGACTACAGCGGTCATGTGCATGGTAAGTTACACAGTTAGCAATAAGCATAAACGGGCGGTGATTTTCAAACGGTTAACTATTAACTGTGCTTAAGAACATGTGCTTTCCCTGTAGACTCCGACATTTAATGTCAGTTGGCGGCACATTGAATTTAGCCCTAGGCACTTTGCCAGCTGTGGAACGAGGAAATGAATAAACACTACGGTTATGCTAATGATGTAGTTGTGATGAATATTTTATAGATTGTTTCTCACGCCTGCATCCATAGTTTGAATCACCAATATTTTTATCTTCGTTCCTTCCCTACGATCTGACCCAATTATTTTTAGCGACACCGTTATCCCTCGCCTTGTTGTCCGTAGTTAAAAGCCTTTTAAGACGATGTCGAAGGGACAAACGGCTTTACCCGTAAGCACTGAAACCACTAGACGAATTAATGGGGGTGCGGTAGCCATTGTAGTACGTCACTGTCGCTATAGCATGTCAACAGGTAATATCTCATCTATCGGAGCCTAGATTGCGACTGGCGTTTCCTCTTCTCTTTACCTTCCCGTTTCGTGTTCAGTGTCGTAGAGCAGCCATCACTCATGCGTATTTTCACGCCATCCATCCAGTCACCTCCTGCTCGGTCTTCCATCAACACCTGTGAGAGTGCTTTCCTGCTCGCCATGAGGTGTAACGCAAGCACACCTTCCATCCAGCCATGACTTACTAGTTAATTGTCCAGCCGTCTACGAAGTACATCCTTTGCATTTCAGTCCCCTCGGTTTATTACGACCCCGGACTTAGAAGCCCTCGGAACCTTCAACTGGACGCATGCTACAGTCATGCTCCACGCTTTGCGTAAACTTGTCTTCATTAATAACAAAACCGTAACTCGTGTTCAACCTCATCGTCTACGTCAAATTTTCAAGTCACCAGCAAGGCAGCGCAGTGATTCTTGTAGTTCGAAGACAGGAATCGCTACTCTATATCATTTTCTGCCCTTAGGCAAAATGAGCTTTATCTTTGAAGCCCCACCTCACCCTTGTAGCCAGAGGGACCAACTTTAGTCTGCCTGCCATGTGCAAATGAATGAGAACTAATTGCGTGAAACCAGCAAATGTCATTTGCATTCGCGTGTGCATAAGCAAGCGCCGATGCCAGAAAGTAGTTATATTCTGTCGTATTTGTTACTACCAGGTTATTGATGGAAGTGAGGGCGATGAATATACCGGGAGCGCGTTAGTGCACCAGTTCCTAAGAAATACAGGAAATGTTTTCGTGCCAACGGATGTAGACGTGTGAGGAGGTGTGCTAAAACCACAATAAACACCGTACATTGTGATCCTGTTGTTCAGGAAAGATATAAATCACTATGCATCCGGATACGGAACTTCCCTCTAAGAGATTTATCAGGACACCCCATCCCCCTAGAAAATGACTTGCGAATCAAAGTCCGCATTGAACAAACATTGGAAGGAATAAGGAGCAGAAGGGTATCAGCAGTATCCCGATACGCAGCACCGACGCTTCACATCCGCGCAACGATCACCGGTCGCACGTGGGCTAAGGATACTGCGAGGGTCGCCCTCTCCCTACGCAGGCTCGAACCAGCGCCGTCAAATTATAAGACAAGCTTGTTGCCTTTAGCCTACGGACCGTCATGTATTGCAGGAGCAAGTTGCATATTAATTCTGTACGACTCCATTGGAATTAGATCAAAAATAGCATAAGTAGTATCTGCTACTTGTTGATACTCTAATCGTCCTCCAATTTCTTATGTAGTATTCAAAACGCAGACTGGGATTACATATGTGAGACCTCCTTGTCAGTGTTCAATCGTTCCTTGGATCGAATGATGGTGGAATGTCGATCCAACAACATTTTACACTGCTGCGTAGATTTGGTTTCCATTACTTGTTCTGATAGACTGTTTCAAACATTTACCACTCTCCGTTTGAGGCTCAGCGGGTTGAGAACTCGCTTAAAGACCGGCACCACAAGCTTATACCGATGACCGCGTGTACTGCAAGACGTTCACAAGTGAAGTAGCGGCTTCAACATGGGGAAATCACCGAGAGGTAATATGCGGTAGGTCACGGCAAGATAAAGTCACAGGCAGCGATGCTACAAGCTGTAGAGTTCTAGTTTCTCGCACCTGCCTTCCTAAGTCAAATCTCATAAACGTAGAATGAGGTTGGCAGCGACATGCTGCACCCGTTCGATCTTCTATGCATCCCCTCTGGAGATGGTGCAGTTGACCGGCGAGCCCTACTCCAGTAGTGTTTATAATTGAAGAGAAGAGTGATAACCACTTCAGACCAAGTAAATAAACTGAGTTTTTAAGCGCCCAAAACATGCGCAGTCTGTTATGATGTAGCATGTTCGTGTTGTCGACGGACTTCAAATCGTAGCGCGAGAGTAGCTACTGGCCGTCGATGGTTTAATTTCGGCCATCATCACCTTCCCCAGGCTTATGAACACCGACTTGCTTAAGTTGGGCGCTCAAGCGCAGCTTCAGCACTTGGTCCGATGAGATTGCCACTCACCTCTTCGTCTCGATAATACGACCAATGCTAGAGTACGCCTCTCCCGCATATTGTCCCATCACCCTGGGCGAGGTAGAAAAGCTTGAGCGGATGCAGCATGTAGCCACTAGGCTGATTCCCAACTTACGAGGTATGCCATATGAAGACCGATGTAAGAAACTAGGGCTGTGCACCCTAGCATATGGTCGGCTGAGGGTTGACCTCATCATGACGCACCGGATATTACATCTAGGTGATTACCCCATGTTGAGACAACTGCTTCATCTGCGCACACCAAGCAGCACGCGAGGACACCGGTACAAACATATCGTACCGCAGTTGAAGCGGGTAGCTCACCAACTCTGTTTCGAACGTAGATGGGTGAATACCTGGAACAACCTACCGCAGACGGTAATAGAGGCAAACTCAGTGGCCGAATTTAAGAAGCTTCTAGGCAAACACTTTGAAGAGGTAAAATATAAAGAGCGGAACGATAATAAATACGTTAATGTCCAAGAGCGACAATTGATGCAGCTACACAGAGTATGCTCTACTCGCTGCTCCTAATCAGTATCAGTATCAGTTGATCGGGAGGCGGACTTCTCCAAACCACATGAAGAGGTGGTTTTGATCTTGCTATAGTAGGCCTTAGTCATCGGGAATGTTATTCACTCTCTGAGTCATCAGGTAGTCCGTAAGCGGGTCACACGGTGACGGAAGAAGCTGATATAGATCGTTGATGTGGATTAGGAACAGAATGGACCCCAGAACCATGCTTTGGGGTACTCCACTAATAGAAGAATACAAGTCATTTAGATGGCCGTCAACCTGTACCCTCTATTTACGCCCAACGAGATAGTCCTGGATCCACTGGTGCAATGATCCATCAACACCGCACATTCTCAGCTTGTGGAGGAGAACCTAATGGCTTACTTTGTCTAACGCTTTACTGAAATCGATGTAAATTACGTCGACAGACTTCACCTGGTTCCATGCGTGCAACCATTCTTGCGTGGTCACCAGCAGTTTGTTACTGGATGAGGGACCTAAAATAAAACAGTGCCCTCAGTGCAAGTTTGTCGGGATGCAATGTGTCTTCATAGTGTTCGAAATCGACTTACACTGTTATCAAAAATATGCTTGAGAATAATCTACCTTCTCTTCCCATCCGCCCGTCTCCGTCGCAACATCCCTATCTGTCAACGGAGACCACTGCGAGTTTTTGTTTGGTATCTGCTGGCTGTCAGTCCTCGTACCTGCCTCTCATGAGCGACAATCCATTTAACGTGAGGTTTCAGGTCATACAGTGCAGGAAAAAGCGTGCACGCAACTACAAATATGCAAACGAAGCAAATGCTTTGGATATTGTGCGATGATTGTTAATTTTATTCCGCTAAGAAATAAGAAGTTAATATCGAGCGGGGCACTTGTGGCCTTCCTCGTACGATTCAATTTTTAGCAAAATGTAAAGGATAACGGACCGGCTTGCGGGTTCATCAAAAACGGCAATTAACCCCGTAAATTAAACTGCAAAATTAGGACAAAGGTAATTGCGGTTTTACAATACAAATTGGGTTTGTATCGGCTTTTACTTGGCTACGTTTCGTTCTTGGAACAAGAGCTTCTGCAAGCCAGGTGAACCAGGAATAGGTTGGAATCAGGGATGACGACTCAAAATCTGGTAGAAAATGGGCTTGCAAATAGTCGCTGGGTTATTTATTATTTAGTTTTTAATAAATCTAACAAACAAACTGAGACAGGATAGCTTAAAATATTTCTGCTCAACTGGACGGCTTTTTGAAGAACTGACCTGTATAATGCTCCTCGCAACTGGCACATCTGAAATACTCTGCTACCAATTTGTCTTGTCCCAATAGCATCAGTTGGACACTTTTCGCTTCGCCAACTGCATACATAAAGAAATCACAAATTGCTCCCGTTACGTCCAACGTTATTCGTAGTTTATGTGGTATTCAACGATTCAGTCCACTAGCAGAGCGAGGCGGCGGGAAACATAGGTCTTAGCACCGGAAAGTACCGCAGTTTCTCAACACTAAACTGTTTTGTGTGTTGGAACTAGCTAAGCAAGATCGACTACATGAACTGTATTTCTATTACCTTGTGCCTACCGGCTGGATCAATTCATCACCGTTTGTTTTCGGTTTGTTTTCTTACCAGGTTACAAGTTCCAGTCAGGCAAGAACTTTAGCAACACAACAAGAGACCTTGAAGTGTGCGCTCACCCGTTCCCCAGCTACGGGGATTTCGTTCGGGAGAGAGATTTCGCTAGAAACCAACCATGAGAAATGCACAGAATGACTCCAACGCTTTGGTTATTTTTTCATTATTTATTTCAGCAACCGCTACAAACTGAGAGGGGTACCCATTTTACCATTACTTATCACGTTGTGCGGGCACAACACCCGACTTACGCTTTTCTTTAAGTTGCACTCCTTTTGGCGCATGCAATTTAGCCGCTGCGCTACTGCAATTTATTTTTGCATTTGTGAATAGACGGACAAATTTTACTGTACTTTCCTAGCTGTCAGTACACAGATTCCGTTGAAGATCACAAAGGTGCGTTCTGGCTTTCTTGGACCTACATCATGGGGGTGTAACACCCAAGTTTGTGAACCGGCATGTAGCGGTGGGAAGGTATCAGCAGCATGCCGGTACGCAGAACGGACGGTTCGCTGCCACACAATCACCAAAACGCGCGCGGGCTAAAGACACTGCGACAGATGTCCCTATGCAAGCTCGAACCCACGACCTCCGGATTACGAGGCAAGTTCAGTAGTGTATGATGGGATAAAAAGCATAACTTTACAAGACCCACAGGATGGATACCGCAAAAAAATCCAATTCAATAGGTTCCAACGTAGAACCTGAAGTGTCAGTGGTTAAACCATTGCATTTTATTACACTGCTGTGAAGCGTTTATCTTTAAGATGTAAGTCTAAGCGTCTTTCGAATGTCGTCATGTCTGTTGCGCAAACGACATCTCTTCGCAATGCATTCCAGTGAGAACAGATGCTGCGAGTAAAAACACTTTCTACAATTCAGATAGGAATGTGGCGTCATTAGTTTCAGATGGTTGTCTCGGCTTTGTTTGTAAAGGGCTAGGGTCAACAGTGATGTTCATGGATGCTCGCTTTCAGTTTGTATCCGCTATGTGAGAGTAAGATCTCCACGAAGCTGTCGGTATTCTGAGGAGAACACACCGAGTACAGTAAGCCGCACTTCGTAACTTAGACCGGCTAGTCCACGCGTTGCCTTTGTGGCTCTTATTTTGGGGTTGTTCCAATAGACGAATATCTCGTTTTAAACATGGACACCAGGCCTGAATTGCATATTCACCGTGAGGTTGAATATAGGGGTTAATCAACATTGGTACTAGCTGTCGTTCAAAGGTGTCGGGAGCTCACCTCCAAAGTCTCAAGTTCAAGTTCGCCACACTTGCTGCTTTCGAACATTGGAGCGAATTACCAACACTCTCTTGCAAGATTACACCTATGTCGCGTTCACTAGTCACGTGTTGCAAGACGTGTTGCCCCAAAAGGTATGTGTTGACGAATCTGCTGCGCATCATCTGCAAGTGGCACTTTGCAGGGTTCAGTGGGAGCTGGTTCTTTTCTGCATATTCGTTAATCCGAGTCAGATCTTCCTGGAGGTAGACACGGTTGGATGCTGAGCGAATTGCTCTCCGTATGTTAGCATCATCTGCAGATATTTATGTGATAGTTTCTTCCACAGGGTGGTTATAAAGCGGGGAACATCACCCTTGACAAAAGCCGCTAGTTAAAACCTATTTCCTGTTCAGTTAATCTCAACTGATATGGCAACTTCGTGTCTATCCGATCAGACATCACTTTTATGTTTGGCTCTTACACCAGCCGACGCGGTGCTCAGCGGGTTGAAATTAGTATCTTGTTCTGTTACGGACGTCATTGGATCATCTCATGGCTGATCAAAATCGCACAAGTTCATCGTACCCAGCCCATACACCGGGCGTATGCTCTCTGGATGATATAATTGTTCGTCGTATTGCAAATATTTTGACGCTCCACATTCATCGTTCAACATTTATTCAACCGTCATATTCATGGCAACCCCCCTCCAATTTCGAGTCTCGCAAAGTGCATTGCGAGTAAAAACCGTACCCTTGACCTCATCAATGAACCGCTCAATACCGATCGCACACATACCAAAGCTAACAGCAAAGCTTTTATTGCACCCTGCTAGCTTTTCAAAGCAGCTACGTTCAATGTTCGAACACTCATGCAGGTTGGTTCAAAGCTGCTCTTGTGCACACCTGGGAAACCCTCTCAATCTATATTTGCTGCCTAATTGAAACCCGTTTACAAGACTACAGCACAACGCTGCGATTGCTCTCACCATTCTCAAGTTCCAATTGTACATTCACCTTGCGCTTATCTGGAGATGCGACAGCGGCAGGCTCCGGTTGCGCCGGCGTACGGGTTGTGTTAAGATCTCGTGCTGAGGCAGCGCTCATTGACTGGTTCCCTGTCAACCGCCGTCTTTGTGCAGTCCGCTTGGAAAGCTCAGTGCGATCTTCCAGCCACGAGACCAGTAAGCGCAGCTTATTCATTGTGATGGCGTAGGCTCCTACTGACTGCAGCCTGGAGGAAGCTAAAGACGAGTTCTACCGCCAAATCACCGACCTCCGCCACAAAAAGACGCCGCACGGACATCGTGATACTCGCCGGAGAACTAGTTGCGCAGTTTAGTTGACTAGAGCTACATTAGCTAGTACTTGGGGCTCACCACAGCCATCGTAATCGCAGGATGGACAACGGCGATCGCCTCCTTCAACGGTGCGCGTACCACGGCTTGTTCCTTTCCAGCTCCATCTCACGACATTACTGGCGCCAACGAGCCACCTATCGATCTCCGGCGCCCGGTCAAGCTTGGACGCAGGTTGACCACTGTTAGTTACCGTTGGCGAGACTGCATAACGGACTGCAAGTGAATGTGGAATACCTACCTGACTTCGGATCATGTGCTCATGTGCGCGAAGTTCGTTCTGCGCTTTAGGGACACCCAACAGCGTCGTGGAAAACGGCTTGACATACACACGCTCCCCGTCCCAAATGTTCTTGGTGAATTTCAGAACGCATTAGCCTCCAACCTGCGTTCTCGATCCTCCGATGTTGAGGTACACTGGGCACAGATCCAGAGCGCTTTACGAAAGTCCGATTCCCTTGTCTGTGGCTTCACTAGACGATCTGCTCATAGTTGGATCTCTGTACATTCTATCCAATTAATGAAGTCGTCGAACAACTCATGAGTACAAGGCACTACTCAGCACCACAGGTGCTGAGAGCAGACACCTGCTCAGGAAGGATCGCGACGTTTGGTGGACACAGCGCGTCGTTGAGATGGAGCAGGCAGCCTCATTAGGAAACTCTTGCAAACTCTGTCAACTTATTCGCTCCACGGGAAGCAGAAAGCCAACAGTGAGTGAGATTTTGCCTGAAAATGTCGGCGAACCAATTCACAGTCGTCATCATCGTCTGGTACGATGGGCAGAGCACATTGAAGGTCAGTGCAACTGGCCACCAGCCTTACCGAGTCTATCTTCCGGAGTTCACAGTGTTCACTGGTGCGTGGATGTTCCTTTACTGACTGAGGCTGAGGTTTCCTATGAGCTTCGCCTAGTGTAGCGGCACAAGTCATCTGGCTCACATGAACTGCCTCCTGCCGTTTTCAAAGATGGTGGTCCTGCTCTCACTCGTGAACTGACATCTCTCTTCCATTAGGCTTGGACTATTGAAACCAACCCATCCGACTGGAATTTAGCGGATATTGTAACTGTTTACGAAAAAGGAGATGAGAGCATTTGCTCCAGCCATCGTGGCATCAGTCTCATTTGTGTCATATTCAAACTGCTCGTTGCCCTATTCTCGCAGAAGCTCAGTTGTGTACGGGAACAGAGCCTGCGGTAACAAATTGGATTTCGCCCAGGTCGCAGTTGGGTTGATCACATCTTTACGATCCGCCAGATAGTTGAACTTCGCCGTACGTTCAGTGGACCAACTATAGTCATATTCTTGGACATTCGAGTCGCCTTTGACTCTTTTGACAGCGTGACTCTTTGAGATTGTTACTGAAGAGGGGATTACCTGAGAAGTACACCACCATCCTCTGTGCCTTTTATCATCAAACTTTAGGCCGCGTGTGACTATACGGAGACATTTCGCCCCTTTTTCAGTATCACTAGTGATGTTAGACAAGATTGCTTAGCCTCCTCATCCTTGTTCAACTTCGCCATGGACGAGGTACTGATTAGTGCCCTGGAGAACACTGAGTCATGCGGTGTTTAACTGCTCACTGGTGACCGCCTTCGGAACTTAGACTACGCCGATGACATCGCTGTGATTTACGAGTCCTACCAAGCCGCCCAGCATGTGCTGCTTAGATTAGAGATGTCCGCCTCCCAATTTGGGTTGACATTTGCCCCTTCCAAATGCAAGGTCCTGTTACAAGACTTGCCAAGTGCATGTACTTCTAACACTCTTTCAAGGTACCCGCTGGAAGTGGTCAACAAATTCATTTAACACTGGAATTGTCTTAGTAATGGCGATTTGACAAATGAGATCCCTCTGCGTGCCTCCAAGGCAAGAGTCGTTTTCCCTAAACTTCGTCACCTGTGAATTCGTAGTGACTTCAGCTTAGCTTTCAACGCAAGAGTCTACAGTGCTACGGTACGTGTGATTCTGCTGGACGGCTGTGAGACTTGGCCTGTTTGCGCAGTTGAGCAGAGTTAAGTGCAAGGTGATCCATCTGCGTCAGCAGCCGGTGTGCGTTTACAAGTTTGGAGACCACACCTTGCGGAAGGCCACTCAGGAGCGTGACCTGCGTGTACTGGTACAGGAGGACCTCGGATTCGCCTAACAAGCAGACAAGGAGTCGAGAACAAGCCGTCAACATGTAGGCCTTCTTTGCAGTGTTCGGTCGATTTGAAGCCTCAATTTTCCCGCAAATGCTTAGCTCCCACGTGAGACCCTACTTGGGATGTGCAGTCCAGGCGTGGCAGCCGTGGCAGAAACAGGATCACGTTGCTCACGAGACGTTTCAACGAAGCGCAACCAATAACGTCTGGGGCCTTCTTCATCTGCCCCATCAGTTTAGACTGAAGTTTCAATGAATAACGGGCAATGCTGGTCTTCAGCAAAGCGAAGGTTCCCATCCCATTAATATGAATCAATACCGGAAATCAGTTTAAAGTGAAGAATTATTTTCAGTAAACTCTCATCGGACCTAAAGGTTTACAAAAAAACCACTGATAGTGTGGGTAATTGTCAACTCAGGTTGGGATTTACTTCTGAACTGTTTGAATGATCAAAATCTATAACTTGAGACAGAAATAGAGATGGTAAACTAAGTAAACTAAATACACATGCATACGCAACGCTCAGCAGTCCAAATTAATTAAGTAGTAAAGATAACAGCGCCACTGAGGTCGGTTCCTTGCCATGTCAGCAAATGTATCCAGCGAAACGTGTTCACCGTATGTTGGACCCCAACCAGGTAGCCGTGACGCTCCAACCGAGGC